TGCAGTGTGGGGTGAGTGGAGCACAGACAGTCTCTCTTGTCTCCACGCAGGACACTGCAGTAGATGGGGAGGGGGTTGTGACAGGTTTCTCCTAGGGTGCCATCTAGAACTGGGGTACCACTGAGCCCCTCTATCCAACCAGCCTGTGCTCCCTATACACTGTACTGCTGTGATCAGCCTGCCAGGCCCTCTCCCAGGCGTCACACATACACGTAGGGACACACCCAGCTGGAGTTCATACAGACTCTGGGATCAGCTCTGCATGGGAAGGCACAGCTAAGGCACCAGAGAGTTCCTAAGCCATGCACCCCATTCTGGAGTTGAAACCCAAAATTATACCATCCTGTGTTGCACAGGGAACTGTACAGTGTAAGCTCCTGAAATTCGCCCCCTCCCTCAATGTGGAGAGGAATATACACAGCTTTCTGCCCCAAGTTATGTCTTCCCCACACAGTGGTTTTAGATAAAGCAAAACCAAGTTTATTAACTACAAAAGATAGATTTTAAGGGATAGCAAACAGCTCAAAGCAGATTACCTAGTAAATAAACAAAACACAATCTAAGCTTAATATACTAAAGAGATTGGATATGAATAGCAACTTCTCACCCTAAATGATGATTTAAGCTGGTTTCAGAGATTCTTAAGGGGCAAGCTGCACTTGTTTGCAGCTTAAAATCCCCAGGTATTCCTTTCACAGGCTAGAAACCCCTCTAGCCTCGGTTCAGCACTTCCCCCCAGTTCAGTCCTTGTTCCTTAGGTGTTTCCCACAGTCTCCTTTGGGCAGGGGGTAAGGGAAGAACCATGATGATGTCACTCCCCTGCATATGGTGGGAACCCTTTTTCTCCAAGCTTGATTCCCACGCCTTTCAGTGGAAACACACTGGTTTTCCAAGATGGAGTCCAGTACTAGGTGATCTGGTCACATGACCCTATAGCATCACAGCAGCCATGACTTGGAGGTGGTTTGTAGCTTCCTCAGGAAGGCTCCCTGGTGGGAGATTAGCTTTGTTGAAGACCTATTGTTCTCCCTAATGGCCCTTCCCAGCCAGCCATTTAGACTGACAATCTTTTGCTTAGTGGGCGTTCCCCAGGTGTAAACACATTTGTAATACAGATACACAGTCAATATTCCTAACTTTAGATACAAAAATGATACACATCTACAAATAGGATAATCATATTCATAGGTTCATACAAATAGGATAATCATATTCAGTGAATCATAACCTTTTCAATATCTCACATGACCTATCGTGTATAAAATACATCATAGTTATGCCACAACCATATCATAATAGTATTTCTATGAGGAATATGGGATGCAGTGGCACAGTGACCAACTGCGCTGTCAGGTTCCCCATCTCCCTCTGGCCTCCATGCTGGGTGTTGGCCTGGCTTCAAGGCTGGCCCGGGTCTGTTGACATCCCTGGCTCTCTTCTTGCCTGCACTCAACCTCGGCATCTTTGCAATAGGGAGATGCTGCACCTCCTCCATCATTCTTTTTGGGATGTTGTTCACGGCCCTTTAGAGCTCAGGCGCAACTTCACACGACACTCACAGTCCAATTCTAGTTTCTCTCTGGCACTGGTGCAGCGAGTTCACAGTTCTGAGCTTCAGCCATCTGTCTCTGAGGAGCAAACCCAGCAGTTTCCCAGCTCTGTTCCCCCCACCTTCTCTGGCTCCCGATGGTATCTCACATCTCTGCAGGGATCAGGCAGTAACTTCATTCCCCGTTTCAGTCTCAGCCTCTCGCAGTGTGACTTTAGCTCGCACCATCAGTGTTTGTGCTGAGAGATACTGACCACTGTCATTGTTCAAACCACACACAAAAATCTCATGACAAAGGGTTAGATAAAGATTAGAATAACAGCTAAAAAAGGACGATTTTGGCAAATGACCATTTGTCTCATGAATTCCTCAACAAATCTGAGCTACATCCTGTCAAACTAAACCAATATCGAAGTATGTGACCTAACGACCTTCACGAAGAGAGAAAAACCCACAGTCTAGGGTGGCCTATAAAACACTTCCACATTCATAAAGTGAAATCTCAGAGAATCCTTTAAGACTCAAAATCAGGGAGGAAAATGGTACCTATTTTCTTCTGAAGTGGCTAAAAGGGCTTCATTTCTCACCTCATTATTTGGTTGTATTAGTTGCAAAAGTTTTAGCATCAATATAATTAAAGAATGAGAAAAAAATATAAAAAAACCTTCCCATCTACAAATGATCTGGATTAGCCTAGAAAAAGTCAGGAAGCAATTTTACCAATAGATGGAAACAGGGCTATACGTTCTGAAAGGTCAAATTGTGCTTTGAGGCTCATTGGGGTTTCCCCTGCTCACTCCCAGGTGTGTGACACTTCCTTCTCCAGCACTCAGGAGTCTGACTTAAGATCATAGACATCAAAACTGTGATTCCTAAACATGGAGAGCCAGGGACACGGTGGTAAGTGACACCTCGGAAGGTGGAGGGTTAGGATGCAGACAGGATAAAACTCTCCATCACTTGGACAGAGGCTGCTCTATCGAGAGTGGAGCGTGATGGTGCTGGGGGAAGGAGGAAATCCCTCAGACTCACCCCATTGCCCTAAATTAGCACAGAAGTTAAAACGCCACCTTTTACTGTCCCTGCTCCCACTTTTTTAGCATCTAGTTAATTCTGGTCCATAAGGGAGAAAATGGACAAACACCTAAATGCTTTTCAGCACAGCCTGGAGTAATGTGAGACTATCTGGGAATGAGACAATCCAGCCCCAAAGGGGGAACTCGGGGACTAATGATCACCCTGTGAATGGGAGGGGGTCAGAACACGTAAGTAAAGGTACGATCTTGTTATGGATTCGCAGAAGTCACGGGGTCTGTGACTTCCAGAGATCTCTGTGACTTCAGCCCGTGACGGCTTGGAGCTGCAGGGTCCTCCTGTCACCCATGGCAGCCGAGAGCTGCCCCCCGGAGCTCTGAGCTGCTGCAGGCTGTGTGGGTATCCCACAGCTCCCGACCGTCGTGGGTGGCCCCCAGGGCTTTGAGTCACTGTGGGCGGCTGGGGCCCCCCACTGCTCCGGGATGCCACAGGCAGCGGGGGGGCCAGGAGCTTTGAGCCGTGAACAGTGCGGGGACCTCAGAGCTCCCAGACACAGCCCTCGCGAGATCCCAGAGCCCCAGCAGCAGTGGGTGCTGGAGCCTTCGCCCTCCCCATTTTGTCATGGATATTATTAGTAAAATTCCTGGACAGGTCACGGGCTTCCATGAATATTTCTTATTGCCTATCACCTGTCCATGACTTTTAGTAAAAATATCCATGACAAAATATTAGTCTTACACATAAAATGCTCAGGGTGAGTTTACACTAGGAAATCCAGTGCAGGGTCACAGAGATGAGCTGGCTGATCCTGACCATGATTCCTACCATAGACAGACGCTCAGAGGCTGATGCTGGGGAGGCAGAGGTGTGATTTCCAGGCCTCCCACAAAAGGCCCTGTGGGAATCAGCCCCTCTGTGTGGTGCTGTCTGAATGCAGAGGGGGCAGGGAGAAGGGGCAGAGGGGGTGAGTGAGGAGAGACAGCACCTCTCTACCCCTGTGCTCTCCCTCGCCTCTTATCCTATCATCCCCAAACAGTCGATAGCCCCAGCACCCAGCTCCCCCTGCTTCCCAGCTCCCCCAGCCCCAGCCATTCAATCCCGTTTCCTCCCCCTAACCTATTGGTCTGGTCCCTCAATATTTAATCCCCCGGAGCCCAGCGCCCTCGGGGATTTGGGGAGGGGAGGAGTTTCCTGCCCCCAGGTACACTCACCCTGCAGGGAACAGCTCCAGGTAAGTGGGGGAGCCCAGCCCAGGGGTTGGTGGGGGATGGGGACAGGTGTCTGAAGTGAAGGTGGGGCCTGGCCCAAGTGTCCTTCTCCTCATCTCCATGGCAGGGGGATCCTGGCTGGGAGGGGAAGGGAGAGGGGGGGAACTTTAGCCAGTCAGAGGGAGCATCTGGAGAAATTTCTTTCTTT